ATGTTGACCTTGTGCCTACAGTGAGCCTTCACCCCTACATTTCAGCATCTCTAGTACAGAAAGGTACCCTGCAGGCTATCAAAAGCAAAAGGTAAACATCAAGCCAGCCACAGCCTAAAAGATACACCAGGGCAATGGTGGCACAGAGCTTAAGGGAGTAATTAACCTGTACCTGAACTGATTTAAGGCCCACCCCATGAGATAGTGACCAAGAACCTGAGACTAGACATTCTGGGAACCTCTGGTGAACCAAATAATACCAGTCTAAATGTTGTGGGAGTAACTTTCGCTGCCTCAACCAATAGTCACTGAAATACGAGCCCACAGTGTAGCGGGGAGCGACTTCTGCTCCGTCAGCCAATAGCTGCTGAAATACCAGCCCACTGGGGCATGGTATATTTCTCTTTTAAAAAGAGAAGCAGATCCGGATCAGGCCCTCTTGGTTCTGGCTCTTGGTTCCGGTGCTTGCTCCTGGCTCCTGCTTCCGGCTCCTGCGACTAGGCTCCCTTCCTGACGGTTTATGGTGTATGTAAGTTTTACCCCCCCAAAATAAATAACCCCTTAAAACATAACTGGTGTGGGATTGATTCGCCGATAATTGACGCCCAACGTTTGGTTTAAGAACCGCCCCACCCCCCCCACCCCCAGCTCGGCCTCCCAGGATACACAGGTCCGGACAGTCTCTGCCGGCTTACTTTGCCCTGTTCGGCACAGATTTTTAAATTTCTCCTTGCAACGTGAGTCAAAGAGCTCACAAAAAAAAAAAAAAAAGAGGGATAATTGGATTATGGGATAATAGCTTTGTACTTGTGAGTTATTGTTTTTAGACAAATATATTGGTATTGGTTCTTATATATTGATACAAACTTAAATTATGTTGACTATTTTATGCATGCATGTTTCTACCTCTGTTTAAAACATTTTTATGTATTGACATATATATATTGTATTGATATATGTATATTTTACCATATTGCATTGTACACTTCTACCTCTGATTAAGATACTTATATATTGTTTGTGTATTGATATATATATTTACCATATTGCAATGTATACTTGCACATTGTTTATATTTGGAGGTCATATTGTCCCCATTTATTGCACAGTTGTTTACTATTTCAGTCTTTAAGTTAGATAGATATTGAGAATAATATAGATCAATAGTCATCTAAGTTTGTCATTTATAATTAGACTAATCAGGTTCTTTAGATACATAGACATTATATTCAGTATAGATAGATAATCTTCAACCTCTTCAAAGAGCTGTAGAAAATGGCCTTTAATCTAACTCAGAGTTCTGTGGTAGGGAGACACAATCGCTCCTGGCAACACTGATCTATTCCCGAGAGAATGTTGAGCACCAAAGACACTCCACCTGGAGCCTTTCTTCTTGGCAGAACTGGCCTTTGGGTAAAGAAATGCCCATACCTCAACTACTGATAGAGTTACAGAGTATCCGTAAATGGATAAAACAGGACTGTCATATCCTGCCAAGACAGGATAAGATAGTTTTGAAAAGTTCCTTGCCTTTAAAAATGATATGTCAGTTACGTTAGGCCTTAGCCAAAGTTGGTTGCTTCAACACTGCAAACGTGATTTTGGATGTTTGCCCAGGTAGCCAGTTGTCTATGTGATTTGTTACATGTTCTGGAAGTTTGATTGCACTTCCTAATTACTCAGGTAACATTATTTCCCTTCTCAGATCTTTGATGGGATTAAAGATTATATAAACGTAGTTACTTTCTTTTCATGACGTGGCCAAGTTATTTCTTATACAAGACTTAAGCTAATTAGAATAGGATATTTGTATTTATTATATATAATTGTGTAGGTTTGTACTTACTGTATATAATTTCGTAATAGGCTTAGAACTCTCTTACTTAAACAAAAGGGGGAGGTGTTGTGGAAGTAACTTCCGCTGCCTCAACCAATAGTCACTGAAATATGAGCCCACAGTGCAGCGGGGAGCGACTTCCGCTCCGTCAGCCAATAGCTGCTGAAATACCAGCCCACTGGGGCATGGTATATTTCTCTTTTAAAAAGAGAAGCAGATCCAGATCAGGCCCTCTTGGTTCTGGCTCTTGGTTCCGGTGCTTGCTCCTGGCTCCTGCTCCTGGCTCCTGCGACTAGGCTCCCTTCCTGACGGTTTATGGTGTATGTAAGTTTTACCCCCCAAAATAAATAACCCCTTAAAACATAACTGGTGTGGGATTGATTCGCCGATATCTAAGAAAGAAAGTAAGTGTAGAAATAAAATGACTTCTAATGATACTCTGTTATACTCATAGATCAGTGTCCTTGTTCAGTCATCACTAGAGAAGCTTCCTTTTGCAGAGATGAGAACAAATATAGAGGAAGACACACAGACAGTCATTATGAAGAGAGTGAGGGCCTTTGGAAAACTCAGGCCTAAATGGGATGTCTCCATCTAATCCATCCCTGAAGACCTTGGGGAACCCTGTAGAAGAGAATGTGGAAAGAGAGTAACAACCAGAGGGGATGGAGGACAGCAAGAAAACAAGACCTTCTAAACCAACATGATCAAAGATCATATGAACTCACAGAGACTGGAGCAGCACCGATAGGAAATGTCCAGGTCAGCACCAGGTCCTCTGTGTGTATATTATGGCTTCCAGTTTAGTGTTAGGGGATTCCTCAAAGTGTGAATGAGAGGGTCTCTGATTCTTGTGGGTTTTTTAGAGGTCCTTTTCCTTCTGTTGGTTTGTCTTGTCCAACTTCCATGTGAAAGTTTTCATTATATTTCATTTCACGAAACACCCCCCCCCACACACACACACACAAAAGAATGAATGGATGGTTGCTTGGGTGGATGGATGGATGAAACATAGCCACTAGGATAAAGGTTAACAACTGAGCTGTCATTTATACTTGCTGGAAGAAAGAAAGTCTATTTTCTCCAATAAAATGACAACGGGTATATCAAACACTCTAGGGCAGGCCTCATGTTCAGTGATAGTTGACCAATATATAATGGGCCCTACAGGTTTTGTTTGCTTTTATTTGGCCACAGTTTTTTGTTCTTTTGTTTTGTTGGTGTTGGTTTATTTTTGTTTCAGGGGGTTTTGTTGTATTGAATTTTTGTTTTTTGAGAAAGAACTTAAAGCTGGGTGGGTATGGATGAGGAAAGAATTTGAAAGGACTTTGGAGATGGGAAGACTATCACAAAATATATTTAAATTTTAATTTTAAAAATTGTTTTAAATAATAAAAAATATTATAAAAGAAACAAAAGAAAGTGTTGTGATTTCAGATGCCAACAGGTCATGAGCTGATTGTTTGAAACATTCCATTTGAAGCTGACTAGGTGCTAATCAGTACTTTCAGGAACACTTCATTCCAGGAATCTCTATTGCGGTTCAAAAACTATAATCATCAAAAAGAAATAAATAACACCCTTTAGGAGATGTACAAGTGTTCCTGGGCCAGAAGCAGGCATCGAATGATTACTAGGTAATGGAGAAAAAAAAAGTAAAAATTACAATCCAGCTGCCTCTCTTTTCAGTTCTGGGATAAATCATTTTTCTCTCAATGTCACAAAGTATAACAAAAAAATAGATGCACTGAAAATTGTACTTGAAAGTGGCAGCAATATCAGTACATTGGTCAGGAACATTGAGCTTGCTACAGCCGAGCACTATTTAGTATCAATGGGGGTGGGGAATTGTGGTTGCCTCCTGGTGTTTTTAGTCTCATTAGGAAAAGAATTTAAGAATGAACTCAAAAAGAAGTTCAAGGACAATTTTATTAGTTTAAAAGAAAAACACCCAAGGGCAGGTGAGTTGCAAATCTCAGCAGCTGCTCAGAGGAAGATAATGGGGAAGGGGGAGGGGAGGCCATGACAGAAGGGAAGCATTAAAGAAGCACATAATTTGGGGGGAAGCCTGAAGTGTGGCAGGAAGCATGCTTAGAGCAGAGAGAGCAAGAAAAAGGAAAGCTATGTTTGTTTATGCCCATGTTCTGTGGTTGAGGGTAGGAAGAGAAGTTTATCTCTTTAGTGTTGCTTACGGTAAGCCTTCCTTCCTAGGGGCAGTCTTTTGGCCAGGTAATTGACACAGACCAATAGCAATGCTAGGTCTCCCCAGGATAGAGATTCTATTCTGTCAGTCAGACGAGGGTTTTCCTTAAAAGGTCATTATTGCTACTCTTAAGGTATCAGGCTTATTTAGAAGATTGTGGCAATGATCATGTTTGGCTAAATTTTAGAGAACAGCTTTCAGAAAATATTTAATTTAGTGCTACATTTAGTACTGTCACGTTGTAAGATACATGGGCTTAACTTTAAAGATGCTTCTCAAGAGGTCGGATCGGTGAGGAGACACTTTGAGCCATCTTGAATAATTAAACTTATGTAGTGCTCCAGATATTTTTATCTCACTTAATCCCACTAACAGGAGCTATGATCATTTAAAAAGGAAGTGGAGCACTTGCCCTAAACGGTGGACTAGGATGAAATTTCGGCAGACTTAAGACTCAAGTAGAATTTACTTAACACGGGAGCTCAGACAAATAAGACATGGTCCCATGCCCCGCCTCAAATGCTGTGAACGAAAGCTGAGTAGCTACAGTGGAAACATCCTAGCTCCTCCTCATGGTTTTAGAGAAAACAAGCGAATTCTATGGCTGAACACGCTATGATCCGAGTCCTTCCAACTCCCGGGTCCGTCCACCAAGTTCCGGGGTACTACGGTTGCCATTTCCACAAGAAACCAAAGATGCCAGCACTAGTTTCGGGAGATTATGTCGTGGGGATCTAGCCCAGGAGACTCATCTTCATCCCTACCTCCTCCTTTGTCTTAACCCCTCGCCTCTGTCCAAAATTCTGCTGTGATTTCTTCAGCATCTCGACCCGGCCCTCTAGGCACTAGGGATATGGGGTGACCCGAACTCCGGGGTACACACCGGAAACGGCGGCAATATTTGACGTAAGAGGAAGTACGTGACAGCGCGGCCTGTGGTTGGACATTACAGAAGTTGGTGTCTCATTCTAAAGGTTCCCCAGAGTCAAGAAAGCTGAGCTGTTTCAGAGCGCAGGGAACTTTCCGCAAGCTCTCTCGGCTTGGTCCCGCGCGCCCAGCCCTGGCTTGCGGCGCGTGTGAGGACTGCTCCTAGGCCACCGATTGGAAGGGAGTCGGTCTGAATTAGGGAAAGGAGCCAGCTGCCCCCATCACATCAGCAGGCTGTTCCCCGCTGTACCCCTCGACCCTGAGGGCGGTGCTGACTGCTCTTGCTTGTCAAGCAGAGGCTGGGGCTCGGACGGTAACGTCAGTTGGTGTGGTGTTGGCTGGTGGGACAGGGACAGATCTGCATTCAAAGCAAGTTTCCGCTACCGCCAGAGCCCTTATTCTTCTTACGGTTTTCAAGCTTTGGGTGCCAGGGTGGCAGGAACTCTACAAACTGAGTAAGTCTCAGACGGCTCTGAGAAATTTGATTTTCACCAGTTGCCCTAGACGAATGACATCGCTCCTGTGTGAATGAACAGCTAGGTGCGCCGGTCAGAGGCCTTCGGGGACCTCCCGCTAACTCTTGTCTTATGCCTTTAAGACCTCGGAGATGAGGGCTTCCTTCGCACATCTCGCTCGGCTGGAGAGTTGGATTTGATCGTTTCATTAACGCTTTGGGGCAGCTGACAGGCTCTTCGTGTCCCTACCTGATAAATGATATAGGTTGTTGTTGATGAGACAGGCTGTCAATATTTAACTCAGGCTTCCTGAATGCTGAGATTACAGGTGTGTGCCGGTAAACCATACTAACTATCACCTAAGGAGATTTATAAGCACGGAGTCCCGAACCCAGATCTACTCTTTTGGATCAGAAGGTCTAGAAGATAGGGCCTGGGGATCTGTAGCTGAGTGTTAATATAACTGTGTTCTCTTTGGGAACTTGAAGCTTTCCTAGACCCATAAAGAAGTGGCTTGTAAATTCAGAACATGTGGCCTGACCCTCCTGTATTCTGTATTTGCCACAGGGTATAATTAGTGGGCGAAAATGTAGGGGATTTGATTAGCTTAAGGCTGAGACTTGATAAAAGCTGAGCTTTTAGTCAGTATTGATTTCTCTGAGTGACTAAGTCACTAAACCCCTGCTCCCCATATATATTAACATCTTACCTTTCTCTGCTTGTTATAAGCATAGAAATGAAATCTTTCCTAAATCACAGTTTTGAAAGTGGGATATGAATATTTTATATTTTAATTTAAATTTAATTTTAGTGGAAAAATTCTTGTATATATTTATGGGATATTGTGACGTTTTGATATATGCTTGTGATATAGAAAGAGCACAAAATGAATACATTTATTATTTCCATGCCTTTTTGTGATGGAAATATTTAAAATCTACTCTTTGTAACTATGAAATACCCAGGATTTGGTGTTTATGGTTATTGTTCGTGTAGTAGATCAGTAAAACTCATCTTGTCCAAATGAATCTTTGTACTTTAGATCCACAGTGCCCTTTTCCCCGTCTAACCCCCTTCCCTAATCACAAGGAATCACATTCTACTCTTAGGGCCTCAGCTTTCTTAAGTCTTTATGTGTGAGGTCATGTAGGATTTGTCTGTTTGTGCTTCTCTTACACTTGGCCAAAGTCCTTCCGGTTCCTCTGTCATGTCTACTTTTAAAACTTCTGGGGATGCTCATACAACCAGTGTAAGTAGTAATGCACGAGGAAACTGGGTCTTGGCTTTTTTTTTTTCCCTGGCTTTTGAAGCAGGGTTTCTCTGGGTAACCCTGGCTGTCCTGGAACTCTGTAGAGCAGGCTGGCCTTAAACTCACATAGATCTCCTGCCTCTGCCTCCTGAGTGTTTGGACTAAAAGCATGCACCACCACACCTGACTTGGCCTGTTTTTCAATATTCATGATAAGGACGATGGGACGTGTTCTGCTCTTGAGGCTAATATGAATAGCGCGGGCTATGTGTGATAGACGGACTGCCTGCTGTGATAGCCAGCAGTCCAAGTGAATCAGCTTCTGACAGAGATGTCGTAAAGACAGTTGACTTTATGTAGAAGCTCTATCTGCTGTTGTGCTGTCTCTTCTGACCAAAAGGGCTATAATTACCCGCTAGGAGGCCAGGCTCTCACAGTCTTTAACAAAGTACTCGTTTCTTTTTGAACACAGGTTACCATCCATGGTTTGAATCAGGAATGAAATCTTCTGAAATCTCAGAACAGAAAGCCTTTTGTTCAATATGGACGACCAAAGACGGCGAGCCCGAGTACAGGGAGCCTGGGCGGCTCAGCCAGGCAAGAACCTGCAGGGACTGTGTGCGGGTGTGGACAGCCGCCATTGTCTTGCTTTTTTCCTTTGCTCTATAATGAACTCCCACTTTACTTGTTCAGTTTTCTTTAGAAATGGCTGGCATTTGTCCGATCTGGCCGATGGTGAGCTAAGGGCATAAGCTTGGCTCCTCCTGTTTAGTCAGTACCTTCAGAGTGGGTGGAGGCTGATTGTTGCCTTTGCCAATTACATTTTGGGGTCATAAGTCATCTTCAGGGAGGTTTATTGGCTCTTGTTTGAGGCTCTTCTCTCCTGTTTCAGCTACTACTGGTAGGGGTCATCTTCCCCAGACACCGGGGCAGGCCTGGCGGAGGAAGCAGCTGCCTGACAGAGAGTTTGTGTTCAAAGAGCCTCAGCTGGTAAACTGCTGTTTCTCCTTCAGTGGTAACAGAGATGTGTTTCTGAAGTGGGTTCTGCAACGGTGGCTGAGTGGGTTACTTAAGAGTAGCAGGACAAAGGGGTTCTAATAATAATGAAATGTGAACTATTTTGGTTTTCTTATCTGCCTGAAGACTCTTTGTATTCTGCCCTCATTGTGTGGCCATGTTTCCCTCCAAACCCTCTGCCTTTTTGAGAGAGGGGGCAGAGAAGCTGTCCCATGACTACCAGCTTAATGCTATACTGTGACAAGAGCTTGCATGGGCTAGCTAAGATTTAACAGTTCTATAATGATGTTCTCTTCAGAATTGTTACAGAAAATCCTTCTGAAATTTCAGTGATTATAGCCTGGTTTTTAGCCCCCACCCCCATAGGAAATAAATGTAAAAAACATAGATGACTCAGTTTTGGGGAGACAAAGGCGTTGCAGGGCTGGGGATCAAGCCCAGAGTCTATGCTAGGCAAGTACTGTCTCTTGAAGTAACTCCAAGTTCTTTTTTTATTTTCATGTGTGTGCAATGCATTCATTGCAAATGCATTTTTATATGTATGGGTACACATGCATATGTGCCTATAGATGTGTGTGCAGAGGCCAGAGTTTGACATCAGGTATTGTCCTCAATTGCTCCCCAAATTATATCTAGTTAGGGTCTCTCAGAATGTTCTAAATGCAGCTAGTCTAACCAGCCAGTTTGCCCTTGGAGTTCCCTGTCTCCACCTCCCGAACTCTGCATTGCAGATAAGCCTCTGCACCCACTCAGCATTTACATGGTGTGGAGAATTTGAATTTAGTCTCTCATGCTTTTGTAGCAAGTGTTTATCAACTGAGCCATCTCCTCAGCCTCTTCACTTAAAAGAACAATAAAATGAAAAAATTACAATTTAAAAGTTAGGCATGTTGGTATAGTAACAATCATTTACATCGATGGTTCTCATCCTTCCTAATGCTGCAGCCCTTTAATACAATCATCATGTTGTGATGACCTCAACCTTACAGTTATTTCATTGCTACTTCATAATTTTGCTGCTGTTAGGAATTGTAATGTAAACATTTGTGTTTTCCGATGATCTTAGGCGACCCCTGTGAAAGGGTCGTTCAGCTCCCAAAGAGGTCATGGCTCACAGGTTGAAAACTGCTATATAAATAATTATCAAAACTCAACTTAGAATGTATCTTCTACTTTAAAAAAAAAGTCTTCTTTATTAATAAAATTTTTCTGCAGTGTCTAACGGGAAAATTGACTAGTTCTAATTGTATCACGTTTTTGATAGGAACTGCAGGAACAATGCTCTGTTGGGGTAGTGGTGGTGGGATGGCAAAAGGATAGGTGTAAACCTGCCTTGTTTTGGCTAGAAATGAGAGGATGTGCTATTCTTGACCCTTGGGAACCATCCCAGAGTTCAGATCTGCCTGTTTCCTTGCAGGTTGTGCGTACAGTCCCAGAGCCCAGAGTGATTGAGTAAGTAAGCATTGCCCACAGTGAAGTGCATGGCCAGGGTCTCTCCCTTTAAAATGAGCATGGCCCAATAGCTCCAAACTTTTAGCTGGGAGGAATAGTCTACCTCAGTCGTTGAACTTGATCCTTTGAGGAGACTTCCTGGGTTTACCGATGATATAGAAAACACAGCAAGATCTCTGCACATTTAATTCTAACTCTGGGGTTGATTTCCTGGCCCCGTTTCATTGGTTTCTAGAAGGGTAGACTGGATACAGAAAAGGCATTGTCCTGAGTCACTGCAGCCAGGCTTGTTGGGCAGCCTCAAGTGCCATTTTATTAGCAATCCTTATGAAAATCGCTGTAAACTAGATGACCCTGCATCCCATGTATTAAAGCCATGGGGTTAGTGCTGAGCAATTTAAGCAATGCTAAATGTTCCTCTTGTATTGGTCTGTGTTTCGAATGTTCTCCCAAGCTGGTGTGAGATATATTCTCTTCTGCCTCTCACTTTCCTCCTGATGTAAGTAAATTATCAGTATAAGCTATACTTTTATGTTAGCAATTAGCATCAGATGGATGTTCTTGCCCATGAGCAGTCTATTATGCTAGATAGATATTTGTAGATTGATTTTACAAGAATTTGAAACTTACACAAATATCAGTATAATTTCAGTAATTATCTAGTCACATCTTTGCAACTAGTTAGCTATATAACTAGTCCTGAGTTCTTTCCATCTCTCTAGAATTTGATTTTCTGTTTTGTATGTTAAGGACTAATAGTCCAGTCACTTAAATCTAGCTTAGGTCTATTAGTCTTTGACTGTTTGAATGGTATGCAGTATTGCCTCCGTTGGTGGTAGAGAGAACAAAGCCGCGAAACCATTACAGTTGGGCTTAAAAGGGAGGGTTGCAGTCGTAAGTTTGCAAGTAGAGAAAAATGTTACAGCATCTCTCCTAGGTGTTTGGGGCTTAGCCCTGGGCTTTATTTGCCAGTTCCCAGAAATGTGTTCCATGTTTGAAGTGAGTTTCTCGATACAGTTCTTTATATCTCATTAAAGCACAGTATCTATATTCTTGGAATCTATATAGACTACTTCTGTAGAATGTGGTCCTTGGGGAAAATATGCTAGCTGTGCTCATTCAACTGCCTAGGAGCCTAGCACAGAGGTCATGAAGCACTGGCCCCCTGAGAGAGGTGATAGGAAGGCCTTTGAAGTAGTAAATGATCTGTGTGCTCTGTTGCTTTTCTGCCGTGAAACTTGCACCTGCTTGTCTGTGTTTCACACCTTTCCACACTGGATTAAATTCAGCAAGCTTTGTTTGTTTGGTTTGGTTTGGTTTTTATTTTTCAAGACAGGGTTTCTCTGTAGCTTTGGAGCCTGTCCTGGAATTTGCTCTGTTGACCAGGCTGGGCTTGAACTTTCAGGGATGTATCTGTCTGTCTCTGCATCCCAAAGTACTGGGATTAAAGGCATGCTCCACCACTGCCCAGCATTCAGCAAGCTTTTATCACCCATCCACGGTGTGTAAGTTGTGAGAATAAGCCACTCTTTGCCCCTTAAGGGACCCACATCTGTAACATGAGGGCCAGCTTGTCGGGATTTCTGTCCTGTCCAGTTCCCACAGCTGGCAAGTCCCAAAGAAAATCACAGAGGACTCCATAATATTATAAACTGATTGGCCCATTACCTCGAGCTATTTATTAGCTCTTGTAACATATATTAACCCATTATTCTTATCTATGTTAGCCACATGGCTCAGTACCTTTCTCAGCCGGGCAGATTACATCTTGCTTCTTCCATGGTCTGGGTAGGACTGCGGAGGGATCTTCCTGCTTCCCAGAACACTCCTGTTCTCATCACCCCGCCTCTACTTCCTATCTGATTGACCTGCCTGTACTTCCTGCCTGGCCAATCAGCATTTATTTAAAACATGATTGACAGAATACAGACAATTCTCCCGCACCACACATCTAGCGAATAGAATAGACATTTAAACAAGTTGTAATTTTGTACACAAGATCTAATACTGGCACAGGGTGAGATGGGTCATGTTACTGACACAAATTAATGGTCAGGAAAGTTTTAGAGGTGAGGCGCAGTGAGATTTTTGTAGGGGAAGTCAGAAGATTTCCCTGGGCCAGACTGGGAGGTGAGTTGGATAGGGGCTGCTGGCTGGTAGGGAAGTATTTCAGCATACAGAAATGTGGGCTAGAAGCACCTATAGTGCTATAGTAAAGGAATGCAAGTGGTTGCTGCTGAGGTTGGTGGCTCTGTGGGAGTTGTCAGAAGAGGGGTCTAGGTCTCAAGGACCATGAATGCAGTGGTGGGGACACTGAAGGATTTCTATGCAGAGGAAGAACTCACTAGACATTTGTCTTTGAAAGTAACAGGTGTTCTAGGTGTGAGGTGTGTGCACTTGCCCCCTGGGTTGTACTTCTCATTCTAAACTCTCCATTGGTGATAGGTTCTTGGATCATATCAGCCTGAATTATGCGTGAAACCTTGAGGGGTAGAGTCAGAGGTTATTGTCTCCCGCTTTTGTCCCCAAGGCCTGATCCTATGGGGGAGGGGGGTTCTGTTCCCAGTACCATTAATGATGCACCACCATTTTGCCCCTTGTCTAGCAGTTGAGGAGGAGCAGGGTGGAGATTATGCCCCCCTCCTAGTGTTCTCTGTAAGTAACCAATCCTAACGAGTCAGGGCCGTGGGAGGGCGCAAACAGGGTGGATTCCATTGCCTCACACTAACACGTGCGTCTCCTCTTCTTCTTTAGCAGGGAAGGAGTGCATGAAATCAGCCTGTCACCCACAGGTGTGTCGAGGTAGGTGACTCCTCATTGGTGCATGACTGCAGCTGTCACTGACTTACAGGCTCTTGAAATTGTCCTCTCCTTATTAAGGAACAAGACTCAGGTTATACCTCCTTTTTACAAACTCTTTCTAGCATCAGAACATTTTCACAGCGTCTGACTGTTAGAGCGACTGTTGTGACCACAGTCTCACGAGGAAGCCAAGCCTAGAGAGACAGTCCTTTTCCTGCACCCCGGCCACTCACAGTAGCTTAGTACCAGAGCTGGCTCCAGTCTTTCATGAGTGCTTCATTATTTATTGCTGCACTTCATGAACTATGTGTATATTCATTATATAGTGTTATATTGCCACATTAAGGTGAACTGAAGATAAAGTTAAATATATATTAAGTTAAATATATATTAAATATATATAAGAAGGTAAAGTTTTATATATATATATTACATGTAGTCACTATTTAAAAATATTTTAATGCACAGTATATTAGCTATCACCATAAACCAATGAGATAAACAATTACATCAGAAATGACAAATGAAAGTTGTTTAACAGGATCCTCTTCTGGATATGGAGTACCCAGTATAACTGGCTGGTGTGGCTACTGTTTTAACCCCTTTTAGAAGCTCCCAATCTTTGTTTTTTATTGCTGTGATCAATACGATTACTGAAAGCAACGTGGGAAGGAGAGGATGGCTTCACCTTTCAACTCTCAGGTTGCACTCCATCACTGCGGGAAGTCGGGCAGGAACAGAAGCAGAGGCCATGGAGAAATGCTGCTTACTGGCTTGCTCTTCCTGGGTTACTCTGTTGCCTTCACCTCCCCAGGACCATCTGACCAGGGATGGTATTGCCCACAGTAAGCTGGGCCTTCCCACCTCAATCGTCAGTCAAGACAAAACCCCCACAGACTTACCTTTTGGCCAGTCTGACGGAGGCAAGTCCTCAGTTGAGATTCCTTCTTCCCAATGGCCCTGATTGTGTCAGGTTGACAAGAAACAAAAACAGTAACAACAAAGCAAATCAACCATCCATCCGAGACACTCCCCTTTGAAGCAAGACTTTCCCAGCCAATATGCGAACCAGCTGTGTTGTGCTGGTCAGCCAGGTCTTGTGTTAACTAGGTAGCTTTAGATGACCTCTGGGTCTTCTAACTCACATGCACCTTCTGAGGGCTTGCTGTTATCAAGACTGTGGGAGAGTGCCCTTCTAGACTTTCCTTAGGGAAGAGATACAAAATGACTTTTTCAGCTGAATCTGTAACAGGATGAGAATGTATTTAGTAAAAGGAAACCTCATTTGGATATATTTGTTTTGATAGCCATGGTAGTCTCTGTCTTCTAATGGATATCGTTTTAAAAAATATCTTTTGACCTCTACGTTTTACTAGTTACTCTTCATAGTGACCTTATGAAATGGATGTCATCTTTAGGTTACACTTTTGGAAACTGAGGAACATTAATTGCCTGTCCAAGGTTTCAAAATAGAGCCGTGCTAGTAATGTTTGTCTCCTCTCTCCTGGGCAGTATCTTGAACACTGTTTAGAGCAGAACTCTAGAAAGCCTCGTGTGTCCCTCTTACGGCCTTGTGTCTTCAGTGGTGCCATAAATGGAGTGTGTTATTTTACGTGAAGATCATGTGGAAGGAAAATAGCTCCATCTTCCTTTGAAGTGAAGGTCTAGTCAGCTCTCTGCCAGTACTCAGTCCGCCTTTTCTGTGTAGTTCAGCTAATGACGCTCTTTCTGCATTAAGGGTGTGTTTATATCCTGGCTTTGTGGACTTGAAGGAAGCTGACTGGATATTGGAGCGCCTTTGTCAGGATGTCCCCTGGAAACAGAGGATGGGCATCAAAGAGGGTAAGCAGGCCTCTGGGCCACAGTTGTTGCTGCACAGTCCCCGTTCAGATATTTTGCAGTTCCCTGGATCTGCTTAACAGGATTAAAGCCAAGACTCCCTAAGAGACAGACAGGAATTAGTGTACCAGGCAGAAGCCATGCCCAGCAGAGACCCAGAGGTCAGGGAGAGTGGACAAGAGCGAGGCAAGAGCTCAGAGAGCCAAGAAAGCCCGGCTAGCTGGCCTGTGGCTGACATATTCTCCCTTTCGCTTTAACTGCTTGTTCCTTCCTTATAGAAGTTTCCAGAGCTTTTTTTTTTTTTCTAATCCATTTGGCACACATTTTACTGAAGTCCTACTTACTGACTCTGTGTCTTCTCTTTCCTTTCATTGGAGTCAGCCAGTCTCCTTCAGTTTCAGTGTCCCTCTCCTGTACTTGTGAAGATGCAGCACAATTGATCACCTTACTGCCATCTGCCCCTTACTGTTGCTCTTCCTGCTCCTGCAATGCCTGTGCTACCTCACATGGCCACTAGGAGGCGTCTGTGCTCTGACATAAGCTCCTTCCCTAAGACTTGGAGCCAGTTTGAATTGCTTGTGAAGGAGACAAAGTGCATGTAAACTGGCTTCATTTTTTTTTTTTTTTTTTAACACGGGTGTCAGAATAGGAACCTTTTTAGGGAAACCTTCCCTACTCTAGGAGTTTTCACAGTGTGGCTTTGGCGCTTGCTTTAGCATTACAAGTAATTGTTAACTTTGAGCAAATTACAGTTCAGAGGCTCTGTGATTAATTCTAGGTTTTCTTATCTTTAAAAGTTATTTAATAGTACATAAATTATAAGATTCATGTTAATTAAGTAAATTAAAATGATGCATGATACTTGCTTAACAGAATGCCTACTGGTGTGTGTCTGTGTGTGTGTGTGTGTCCTTTAATGAACACTGGCTCCCCCGACTCCTTTTTTCAGCAATTCTGGGTTCAAATGAAAGGCTTTATGCAGTCTTCGAGGTTTAGAAAGTTCTACTACTGAGCTGCACGTCCCCAGTCCTGTGTTGTTGTGACGGATGTCTGTTGGGGAGAGATGGTAGCCCCTGACCTCTCTAAAACAGTTAGATAGCATCCGCGTGTGACAAAAGCAGGTGTGTGTTACAGTTGCTCCCACTGGTTTAGATCAGAAGGGCATGTGCAGTGTTGCCATGACGTGTGTAGACGACTAGGTTCTCTTGCTTTTCAAATGGATTATTGTTACTACAAATCACACGGCCCAGGCTCCATATCCTGCTTTGTGACTGAAACAAACAGATCATACACTTTCCCTCCCCAGAGCCTTCGCCCAGGCTGTCCCTGCCAGCATGCCTTTCCTGTGTAGTTCTTCCAGCGTCTGCTAGCCACCTCCCATATCCTGAGGAAGGGACTGGGTCAGCCTTCCTCTTCCTTGTGCAGGCAACCTTACCACAGCATCTATCTCAAGAGCCGTGTATTTTCTTTCTTAGATATAACTTATCCGCAACCAAGACTTACAGCATGGTATGGAGAGCTTCCTTACACTTACTCAAGAATCACTATGGAGCCAAATCCTCACGTATGTTGAAATGATGTCACTGGTGTGGTATTGGTCTAAGTGTTGAATACCAGAGTCGTTGCTCAGAGAGGCAGATGACAGTTCCTGCTTCAGAAAGTCCTCTGGGCTCAGAAAGCGCCTGCTTCTCATCCTCTGTGTGCTCATGATTTGTAAAGGAGCTCAGAGGACGGGAGAAACTGGAACTGTGAATTAGGGCTGGAGTGCAGGTTCCAGGGGAATGAGCTGCCGCTCCCGACCGTTCCTGTGTCAACACTGCTGTGTTCTGCTGTGCAGCACGTCCCTGTAGCTGGCCAGTGAGGGTAGGGCGCCTTCCCATTTCTCAGCTCTGTCGTTACTTGTGAAAAAAATCTGGGGTTTGTTAAATTTATATTCTGTAGGTAGTTTCCAGACTTCCAACTTACTGCCACTTGGCCTTGTTTCTACTGCTTCTTTTGTTTTTGAAGCTTTCCATGATAGCTGGGCAGTCATGGTAGTAACTTGCCCACAGTCCTACAGCTCAGGAAGCTAGGCAGGGTGGTCATAAGTTCAAGGCCAGCCTTAGCAACACACTAAAACCCTACCTCATTAAAAAAAAAAATCCACGTCAGTAGACAAAGATATTTTGGTCTATAAATAAACTTGTCAAAGGCTAGAGTTGAGGCCCAAGAAAGAGCTCCCAGTTCAGTTCTTGGACTTTTGCCTTCGACAAAAATGTTCTGCCTTACTGAAAGAGACTTTGAAGAGGTGGAGTTTTGCTTGTTCATTTAGACACACAGAGTGTGGCGTGTTTTAGAGCCCTAGCAACATGTATGCACAAAGGCCCTGTGTGCTGACGTCCCCAGTACATGAGCACAGTGACTGCACAGGGGAGGTGGCTGTGCCGTGGGGCTCCTCCCTAGAGCCGGCTGCAGGCTGCGACTGCAGAAGGTGAGAAGCTCCTCTCTCTGAGTAGACTTGGGGACCCAGGCAACAGAAGCGGCCCCCACTTCGTCACAGCCGGTTAACTGCTTGTCCAAGACCACAGTGGCAAAGCTGGGGGCTAAACAGGCTGTGGGGAGGTCCTTCTTCATTTGTTCCAGCTTGTCTTTCAGTCGACTTTCTTTTCAGTCAACATTGCTGTGCGTCTGTTGGGGGCAGTTCCTGGGCTTAATAACCACTGTTTTTAGAGTACACAGAAGCTACACGGTACTTCCTGAATATTGTCTTTCACTCTAGAGTCATTTTTAAAACAATTTTTCAAAAAAAAATTTTTTCACTAACAATCTTTTTTGACCCTTATTGAAATTGTAGTCTCAGCACTTAGGAAGATGTAAGAGGGCTTCTGGGTTTGAAATAAATCGTTCCCTGGAGAAACAAAGTGGCTTGGGTGTGGCTTGGTTGAACAGCACTTACCTAGTATGTACAAGACCCTGGGTTTTGTTCCTAGTACCACAAAACATAAACCAACCAAGCCAAACAAAAGCCCCTTAAATGAATAAAAATGAAAAACTGTCTATAAGTTTCTTTTAACTATTTATCATTAACAAGTCTTAAATATTCTATATGGATTTAATACCTGTGTAATATTTCATAGTCTTTGACTACAGTAATTTATTCAAGCCTGCCTCTTGTTGAACATCAAGATTTCCAGAACAGAGCTAGGGAGGCTGCTCAGTCAGTGCCTGCTGCTCAGCGTAAGGACCCGAGCTGAGACCCACTTTCCAGTCTCAGGTGGAAGAGCACAGTAATCCCTGTTTGGAATCCCCGTGCTGAGAAGTTCGCTGGTCAGTTAGTCTAGCCTACTTGGTGAATTCCAGGCAAGTGAAAGATCCTGCATCACACAAGATAAGAAAGAGCCGGACTGTACCTGCGAGTGCCCCTAGGAGTTATCTTCTGGTCTCCAAGCATATACGTGTGCAAACACATGCACACAAAAGACTCTCAAATTATAATTCCTATCATGGAATTCTGTATGTTTATTGCTAATGTATTTAGCATATATACATTTATTTTGAGATAAGGCCTCATTAGATAGATAGGCTGACTTCAAATATCTTTAGCTAAAGATGGCTGCAAACTCAAATCCTGCTATTCTAGCCTCCATAGTGGTGTTAGAGGCGTGACCACAATGCCCAGCTTTAGATGTAGGTCTTGAAACCTGTTTATCTTTGTACAAACTGAATGATATTGGGCCCGATGTATAAAATAGATTAAAGCTTAATCAGCTGCAAGTCTCACCAACACGACCTTCCTATAGACCCAGGCCCGCCTTTGTGGCACTGGGCCGCTCTAGAAACTCAGCTGCGTTCACTTTCCTTCAGATGTCTCTTGAGGATAGAATGCCTTTACTGAGCAGCAAGATGACGCCGAATTTTAATTTAGACATTCAGTTCTAAAGGATCTCTATTTAGAGAGTTGGTTAAAGAGTCTAAATTAGTCCTCCATTACCCATCCCATGTCTCCCTTTCTCTATACTTCACTACCAAAAATAGCCAAGAAAAAACATATACCACTTAGAAACATACTGCAGACTTGATGTTGTCACAGTGCTGAGCCCCAAGCGAGTCAGGCTAGTGCTGATGAGATTCTCAGTCACATTCTAGAGCCACCTTCTTCCCACTCTTGTTTTCTTGTGAGGTGTCTGATTCAGGCATCTGCTTTTTCTCTTTCTCTGTGAAGGTGGATTCTAGCTGGGAGGTAGGCAGGAAGCACAGCTTGCCTTGCCGTAGCTGGGATTTCACTTTAGAGTTTGTTTTCTTGAACAAGAGCCAACTTCATAACCTTCGTGTTCTGCTGACCTGAGTTCTGTGTCTTCTGTAAATCCTCTGCTTGACAAAGGTGATGGTGATAAGCACGAGGAGGCCGCTGTCAGGCTGGCGTCACACGGCTGTGCTGCGCCCGTGCCTCTGTGGCAGGATGGGGGCAGACGCAGGACTGCACTGTCCTCTCAGCACCCATTCTGTCACTGCATGCTCGTCCGTAAGCTTCCTGAAGCACATTCCATGGGTCCAGGAAGCTTTCATAGGTACCACACTGTTTTCACAGTAGTGCCTAGAGTGTGTGTGTGTAACTGTGTAGCATTTGCTCTGATGCTATAGAAATACAAATGGATGAATGGGGAGCACCTCCAACAAACTGCCAGTAATCGCTGGGCCCCCACTACAGCACATTCCTACCTTGGGTTTTCAAAATACTCAGTTTAGCACCCCCTGAGATGGCTCAGTGGACGAAGGCACTGACCCCCGCCCCAAGCTTGATGTCCTGAGTTCAATCCATTGAACCCACCTGGAGGAAGTGGAGAACTGGTTCCTCCAAAATTGTCCTCTGACCTTCACATGTGTGCTGTGCACATGTGGGCGCATGTTCATACACAATAAAAGAATGTAATTTCAAAAGTTAAAGATAAGGCGTTCTAGAGATAGCTCAGAGGTTAAGAGCATTTGTTGCTCGTGATAGAGGACTTAGATTTAGTTCCCTATGCTCCTGACTGCTCACAACCATCTGTAACTGTAGTTCCAAAAGATCTGATGCCTTCTTCTGACCTCTGAGCACCAGGCACACAGATAGTATAAATACATCCATATCAGCAAAAACATTTACACTCATAAAATAAAAACACATACACATAAAGTGAAAATAAATCTAAATTGTTTCCAATTAAAAATAAAAATGCCAATCCAGGCATAAGTGGTAAGTGCTTTTACTTAGAGATCTGCCTGCCTGTTCTACAAAGAGAGAGAGTTTCAAGATAGCCAGGGCTATGTAGAGAGATCCTGTCTTAAAAAAACAGACAGACAGACCAAAAAAAAACAAAACAAAACTTATTTCAAGTACATCTTAATAGTTCATTTGATGAAACTGAAAGAAGACATAAGGTGTGTCTCCAGAAAGTGAGTGTGACTGAGCTGTGAGCTCTTCTCCCCATAGATTGCTTTTCTATAAAAACAGCTGGCAAGCAGACCTCTTCGTCAGATCTGAGAAGCTGACTGATATTTCCTCACCAGCAAATGAAATTAGTTTCACTTTAGTGAAAACAGTGGCCAGGGTTTGTTGTCAGTGATAAAAGTTGAATTTCCAAGCACAAACCAGACTCTGGGGAAACTAAGCATCCATCACTGTGAGCCTGGCTTTTTCCCATGACCGAGGCTTGTTTGATGAACTCAGTGACAGTATTTACAGTGTCATGACTGGGTGGTGACATGTGCGGAGGTTTAGAAGGTCTGTGTGACTCAGTGACTGCTGTTTCCCAGGTGACAAAAACCATGCAAGGGCAAAGATCCATTAAGATTTTGATTTAAACATAAAAAACAAGAAAAGTTTGAGATAACGTCAGATCCTGAGTGGGGCTAACTCGAGATCTGCCAAGGCTGAGGTTTGGATGCAGTCACAAAGCAAAGCTGCTCTCTGACAGGGCTGTGCATTAATTTTAGCAGAGTAAATGCAGAAGCAGGGGAGCTGACTGCCTCCCGTGTAGACAGACACTATGTTTGCAAAGCAGAGCCGCTCTCATCACAGTTTTATATTGAAATTACATCTTCCATACACAGTTATATAGATTCGTTGTTGCATTTTGACTGAATTGCCAATGGTATATTTATTTATCTGGACACAGGGTCTTGCTATGTGGCCCAGGCTAGTTTTTAACTCTGTCCTCCTGCCTCAGCCTCCCTGGCTTTGTAGCATGTGTCACCACTCTCAGTTCAGCTTTAATTTTAATATAGTAAATATCAATAACTATAACCTAAAAGAATGAAGGTTCAGACTGGGTGTGGTGGTGCACACCTTTAAACTCCGCACTTGGGAGAAAGAGGCAGGCAGATCTCTGTGAGTCAAGATCAGCCTGTTCTACATAGCAAGTTCCAGGCCAACCAGAGCTACATACTGAGATCCTGGCTCCTGCAGCAACAGTAAAGTGAGGACATCAATCACTTTGGTAGTGTAAAGGTTGAACGCCGCTGTCCTAAAGTGTGTGCTGGGCTCTTGAGATTTAGTAAGACACAGAGCTCTCGTGGAGCCAGTACACAGCCTGTGACTGATGTTCATAACTTCCTGTGTACGTGGCCACACTGCAAACTACATCACTGAGCTGGGCGTGGCCAGCAAGCTGAGCTGTGCAGTGTGGTTAAGTCTGTAACTTCACAGTTCTAAGAGTGTGCTCTGCGTCCCATTCTAGAGAGAAGAAAAGGGCCACATTGTTATTGTTGGCATAGCATAGACCAGGATGGCCTCAAGCTTGCCTCAGCCTCCCGAGTGCTAAGATTACTGGCTCACACCACAATGTCAAAGATTTGGGTTTTTTTTTTTTTAAGGAAGCTAGCTACTCTAAATATTAATTATTTTTCAAGAAAGCAAATCTATTGTTGAGACTTAAAATAGGAATAGGATGAATGGAAGGCACCCAGTGGAGAGCACTCCTGTTCTTCACTCGAACCTGAGTGTGTGGACTCACTGGCTGTCAGCTTCGCTGCTCCACTTAGCACAGCGCTGCCTTTCCAGAGCCACCCTGAGCGTGCTGACACTGGCCACTTTGTGAGGATCCGAGAGAAACGAGAGGGTGGACAGGCTCCAGCCTTCGGATTTAGTGCTTTCCTACTAGAGTGGAGGAGGTTGACTTGCTTCAGCATAGAGACGGAGGGAGGAGACGACTCTACTCTTCTTGCCTTCTGTTTCTTACATTGCCCTGCTCAGAGCTTGGCTCATTTTGTCTTTTTTTCTGTTTTCCCATGCCTACCTACTGTGCCTTGTGTGCCTGTCCCTGCACTTGCTTCGGCTTGCTGCCAGTGGCATCCTGTGCTGTGCACTCTGAAGAGCCGCATTGAGGAGAACACTGGGCACACCTTTAACTCTTTGCTGTGCAATCTTTACCGGAACGAGAAGGACAGTGTGGACTGGCACAGTGATGATGAACCCTCGCTGGGGAGCTGCCCAGTCATCGCGTCACTTAGTTTTGGTGCCACTCGGACTTTTGAGATGAGGAAGAAACCCCCACCTGTAAGTATTCTCTGCCTTAAACACACATTTTCCTCCCTTACCTTCAGTGAAGAGCCCAGATCTCCTAAAAGCCGCCCTTTCCAGGATTAGGGGTAGGAGTCCACAACATTGGTGAAACATTTTCATTTGTTTGCTTCCTCCAAATGTGTGGCTTCCAAAGTGCCCACTCGTGCATTTGCTTATCCTGCAGGAATTGTCCCCTTCACCAGGTCCTGTGGGCCCAGTGCCACTGCTGGAAAGGAGTGACCGTCCGGGTCCTATGGGATTGCACCTGTGTCACATACTGTGCCTGAAGAGTCACAGAAGGGTGACTCAGAGTTAGGGAGACTCCAGAAACTCGGGAAAGAGGCCCTGAGTCGACTGTTATTTCCTGTGTGCCTGTGTAGCATATCTCTGTCTGGGAGGGAGCATCACAAATCCTCATTGTCTTCTAGTCTTCTTCAAGGGTGTGTGAGCCTGTGACTTCTTGAGCGAGAGGAAGCTCAACCCAGATTCTCGGGCAGTAGTGTGCCTAAGTTGAGACTGGAAAGCAGTGAGTAAACTAACTTTAATTTCAGTTTTCGCCCTAGTTCTCAGGTAGATTACATGACATTAGAAAGATTCAGAACTACTGATCCCCAAGTCCTGCCCTAATGTTTGAATCAAAAGGGAACCTTAAAACAAAGATAGAAAGCTAGAAGAAACTCCAAGAGAGGAAACTCACTAAGTCATTCTGATTCCAGAGTTCCTGTTATTCAGCTCGCATCATTAAATCAGGCCCCATCAGTGTGGAAGGCCAGTGGGCTGTGTTTTGATTATGACCTAATTCAGTCCTCCTGACTTGCTCAGAGCTCCTGTCTCCTCCGCATCAGATACTTCTGTAAGAATGCAGTTAACAGATCATGCAGGCTGCAGTGCCATTGGGTTTCCAAGCGTGTTGTTTTATAGCATACTGAGTTACTTGGCACATATGACATCAAACTCCAGTTGTTGGTATCATTTCCATTGATCAAGTTTGCTTCAGTTTGGTTGCCACCTAAACTTTGTTTGTTGGTAGAACATTCTCAGTCACCAGTGTAAGACCCATGACCATATTCTCCAGCAGCTTCTCGATGACTAGGGAGTGTGAGTTGAGCACCAAATATCTGGCTTTTGTTGGTATCTTTTATACGTGGTTACATCTCTATACACAGGCCTATGCTTGGATCCCAGGCTGCACATATGAAGAGTTCTTCTTGCTTGTGTAAGACTCGATATTAGAGATAGTGGGGGAGCACGGTGTGCCTGATGGCTTTTCAGACCCTCTCCTCAAGCAGATGGTGGCCACCATCCCTTTTCCAGGTGGGTCCTGGGCTGCAGGTGTAGCTGTAGGGGAGATGCAGCTCCCCGCGCTCTCGTACTGGAAGCCTTGGTATCACCCTCTGTTTGGTTCTTGCTTTGTTGCCAAGTGTTTCAGTGACTGTTTCTTTACCCACGCACATTCAGCACCACCCCCTTATGAAAAAAATTAGGGGCCTATTTATAGGTGGAAACTTAAGAATTCCCGAAGTATGCTTTTTGGGTAGTTAGTTTCAATGTACATGTGGTTCCCAACTGCTAACCATTAACAGTGCGTTGGTGCCCAGAAACACCCCTGACTGTCTCCCTCCCAGCACAGGGCTCCTCATTCATAGGAAGACCTGTCTCAGGGCCTAGGGCCGTAGCTCAGAGCACATGAGCAAGGCGGGGTTCTATCAGCACCACAAAACCAAGCAAAAGCCCAGCACATGGTGGCCTAGAACTCCATCTTGGTAATAATTTGTTACGTTGTAGGTTGGTGTATGGTCAGCAAACACAACAAACACATACAGCGTTGTTTCTGGGTGTGGCTGTGTGCAACAGATCTCTGTTTAAGAGAGACTGCCCACGCCGAGGCTGCCTCCTTAGGCTTCCTGGAGTCTGTTCTCAGGAACCTGGGGAAAGCAGAGGTCATGGAGTGATGGAAGAGATCAAGTCCCCTCGGTGTGCCTGGACTACAGCTGTGCCAGCTGAGTTAATGGAACATAATACATCTCATAAGTGAGAAAATTTATCTGAGGTCTTGAAATAAAATTGGCTGCGGAAATGAGTTTGGGAAGAAACATAAACAGTCAGTACCCCAGGTCACTGGCTCTAGTAAGTTTTGACTTCTGGCCTCATTTCAACTGGGATTGAATTTGGCATAATTCTTGTACATACTCTCAATTTTGACTTTTGTTTAAGATGGAGAAGCTGAGTGTTATTGTGTTGGAGATTATAATCACACATTGGTGACTACAGCCTAGAAGTTCCACTCGAGTAAACACAGCGCATGTTTAAACTTTGGAGGACTCACTCACACTTCATTAACAGATTCCAAAACTCTGGAGCCCATAAAAGTAGCCAAATGCAGAAGCCTTTCTTTGAGTTGACAGCCATGGAAATATTTCTCAGGGCTTACATCTTATTGCAAATAGGCCTTTTCCTGAAGGATTCAAGGGAATCAGCTATTCAAATCTTTGTCTACTTTTCTGTTTAAATTCAGGTAGTGGCTCAGAGAATGAGACTCATGACTCACAGCCCAAAGTTAAACAGGATAAGTCACTCTTCTGTGTGGCACGTGGAGTCTGACTTGCAGTACTCTTAGGACCTGTCTCTGAATGTCACTACTGTTGTAATTTTCCTGTCTGCCAACAAGATGGTTGTAGGAGGGAGTTTTCTACACTCGTGTTAGCTTTGACCTACCAGGTGAGAGCTGTCACTGTCTGAGTTGCTTTCTCATCTGAAGCAGATAAAAGCCAAGAGACTTCTTGTGTTTCACGTATCTATGGAGTTTTGAGACAGAGGCCTTTGGGGGCTACTTTCAAAGACTTATTTGTTTTTGGTTTTTTGTTTTGTTTTGTTTTTTGAGAGACAGGATCTTGTGTAACAAAGCTGGCCTTGAACTTTTGATCCTCCTACCTCTATCTCCTCAGCGCTGTAAATGCATTTGCCACCGTGCCCAGAAAGAGAATTTTTTTTTTTCATAACAAATTCAGACTCTTCAACCCCTGTAACAGCTGCTTGCTTTGCAGTCTGGTTCCTAGATCAGTCTGGCTACTGATCTTCTGGAAGCTGCCACATGTTCTACACACTATTTCAAACAGTTTCTCCCTTGCTGCCATGGAAGGGGATCTCTGGTCCCTACACATCCTCTGATTTGTGGAGCCCATGGCTTCGGGATTAAACAAGGAAGAACAGGGTGCCCATCCTTCCTTCACTGTCCTCTGCTCCCGGCCTGTGGAGTCTTACTCTGGTTTTTTCTCTAGTGGCGGTAAGGTACAAAGAACACAGTAGTCTTTGTTGGTTTTGTTCTGCATCCTGTCCCTTCCTTTGGTGTGGCTTAAATCAGAAACTGGCCAGTGCTAGCCTGCCCTGTCCAAAGATGAGAGAAAACTTAGCAAATCTGTGTCAAAAAGACCTTTTGTACCCTATCAGAGTGGGTTTCTGAAAGCTTTTCTGCACTACTTATCCAGAGCCCAGTGTACTTTCCAAACTACATCATGTTCCTGTTTGCAAAGATTAGCCTGGTTCTTTCCCCATCTAACTAATTCTATACAGAGGAGCAAACTAGAAAAGGAGCTACAAAAGCCGGTTGGCAGGCTGCTATTTCTCTGTCGGTTACCGTGGAAACAGTGATGGCTGGGGGGTTATTAGATAATAGCAGGAAGTTTGTGATGCACTGGAGGGTTAGATGCCAAAAGCCTTGTTTTTGTAGCAAATTACCTTGGATGAGCTCTTTTCCTGATCAGCTGAATAGTGCCTGTAGGAGGGGTTTCTCTCCACATCAAGATGATTGTGTTGAGGCAGAAGAGGCTTCTCTCTGGCCATTCCTCTTCCTGGCACCTTATGAAGGGTGTGCCTCACAGCAGAGGGGGTGGCTGCAAAAGCAAGACTAATGGTAGAGTCTTTGAGAACACACTTCACTAAATGATTTATAATATACTCACTCCTGGGAATACTGGAGTATTAAAAAGTCATCTTGATCATAAATATTGATTTTTTTTTCCCAGAGCGCTAGAAAACAAGGAAGATATTGAACTCTAAAAATGTTATAGCACTGAGTGGCTTAGCCTTGGAAGCTGGACTGCCTGGACTGTGTGGCATTCAAAGTTAGTGAGCGTCCACCGCAGGCAGTGACCCCTCTGCTATGGTTTTTAGTTATCATCATCTGTCCTTTTAGTTGTTTTTTTTAAATATTTATTTATTTATTATGTATGCAACAGTCTGTCTGCGTGTATGCCTGCAGGCCAGAAGAGGGCACCAGACCTCGTTACAGATGGTTGTGAGCCACCATGTGGTTGCTGGGAATTGAACTCAGGACCTTTGGAAGAGCAGGCAATGCTCTTAACCGCTGAGCCATCTCTCCAGTCCCCCTTTTAGTTGTTTTGAGACAGAATCTTGCTTGTTTTAACTACCCTGACCTCAGGCTCACAGTTAGCCTCCCCACAGGGGCTGGCATTACAGCCGACCACTGACTATGTGCTCTCCTTTTCCTTAAGCCATCCAATCACAGCGTCTGCTGTCCTGATGAACATGTTCTTCTCAAACACCATTCAGTGAAAGGAAGTCTGCCCCGGGGCTGGGAAGCAGCACTTATCTATACCCTTTATGTTAACTCTTTTCTAATAAAGGGAAATGATCATTGTAGTGACTTCAAGGGAATCATTGAAATGCTTTTCCAAGAAGGCAGTGGATTTGAGCTATTCTAAATGCTGTGCTAGAGCTTAAAAAAGTGAATGTGGTAAGAGCATAGTGGGACCCCGAGAACAGGGCAGCCGCCAGATCAGAAATAGTGAGGGGTTTGAACTCCTTGGAGCCTGGGAGGGTAAGTAAAGAAAGATACATTACCCTGACTTGATACATTACCTTCAGACTTGAAGCTCTGGAAGACTTGGAATTATCATTTGCTTCCTTGGGACCTTGTCTCAGCCAGAATTTGTGCCCTAATATGTTCTGGAAATAACTAGTTCCCGAGTTTTTCT